TTGAATTTAATTCTATGTCACTGGAGACTCTATAGAATGCAGGAGAAAAGGAGATCCTAACAGTAGCACTTCATCATTCTAGTCACAGCTCAGAGGCAGCTCCCTTTCTTATTTGCACCCTCACCAACAATTCTTTTCTAAATTGGAATGCTTCTTATTGCAGTGTTATTTATGGTGACAGGGAGTTGGAGTCAATCTGGCATTCATCACTGAGATAGTGAAGAGGCAAAATGGGATGGATGTACATCCTGGAGTAGTTTTCAGCAATTAGAAGCAAGGAATTATATGTACATAGAGCAGCAATGCTGGGTGAGAAATAGGAGAAATAGCAAGAAATAGAAATATATATTAACACCATTTAGAAAAATTAAAAGGACATTCACTGGAAATAATAAACATTTTATAAGAACACATACAAACAAAAATATAGTCATTAAGTAGAAGAGACTGATTGCCAGTGAGAGTGGGAGGAGAATGTGAATGACATGTGGTGGTAATAGGGAATAAAGAAACCAAACAAGATGTCAACGATAACAAATGCATTAGGACCTGGATTCGATGAACTCAACCCTCTGCACCTAACACACTAACTAAATCCAGACATAAGTGAATCAAAAGACTTTACTTAAACTCTTGAAGACTGTTTCAAGCAACACCTTTATCTACAACCCAGAATATTGGGGTTACACAGGATCAGAGCTGGAAAAGAGTGTGCAGGTCATCTAGGGCTGCCCGTCATCTCACCACTTATTTTATGGATGAAGAAACTGAAGCCATGAGAACTAACTGTCTAAAGCCACACAGTTAGTTGTAAAGTTTAGACTAGACCCAGGTCTCCAAGGTCCAGTACTCCTTCTGAGAATTCTCATTTGTTTTGTTGTTATTGTTGTTTGCATCTTAAATGAATTCAACTCCATTCTATGGTTTCTACTTCCTTCATAATTTTTTAATTTAAAAATATATGCAGGAAAAAGGTGTACTGCCCTGCCTACATAAGGGAAGAGTGTTTAAAACCAGTGAAACTTACCTGATTACAAGGGTTCTCAATTATTTTTTTAAATCTATGACACACTTTTGAATATGAGAAATTTTGGCAGCATGCTTGAAGGTATTTCAAAAGTTTACTAAACAAGTCAGTAATAATAATAATATAGTCTTTACTGCACTATAACAATGCCTCAAAGTGCCTAGGAAAGCATAGCGATGTTTATCAACATGCTCATTACCACATGTCAACAATGTATCACAATTTGAATAAAACAGTTCCCTGCCTTGACCACTCTCATTTATACACCCAGGCAAGTGAACATGCAATTTCTCTTTATACTGGATGATACTGTTCTGTGACATGTTTGATATTGTTTGATATTATCCTATGCCTCTCTTCCCCCTACAACAAGCTGAACTTGAGTTTATTCTATATTGCATGACCTCAAATCAATATTATTTACTACAGTCATCATCAAGACATTTTGCATGCTCAATTGTAGCAACATTGCACTGCTATCTTGGCTTTCAAGAAGGGTTCAGGGCATCCCTGTTGAGATTCAGGCTGCGATGGGAAGCTGTAGAATGGAGTGGTTAATGGCATGGGCTTTAGTACCCTAGAGACTGGAGTTTGAATGCTATGCCTGTTACTGTGCAACCAACTTTTGGTAAGATATTTAAGCTTTTAATTCAATCCAACAAACATTTAAGGGCCTGCCATATGCAAGATACTGTTTTAGGTGCTTGGGGACATAGTCAGGAACAAAACAGATGAAAATCCCTGTCTGCATGGAGCTGACATTCTAGTAGGGGGATAGAATCAAACAATTAGCATAATAAATAAGCAAATCATATGATGTGTTATAAGGTGGTAAGTGTCATGGATTAAAGAAAAAGTTGAGAAGAGTACTTTGGCATTGGGTTCTGAGGAGAGGGTGCAGGTTGCAATATTAAATAGGGTGGTCAGGGTAGATCTTGTTGAAAAGGTGACATTTAAACAAAGTGGAAAGGGAATTAGCCACATGGCTACCTGTGGTAAGCAGATGCATTCCTGTTGAGATTAAGGAAGAGGAATGTAGCAGTGGAGGGAGTGAGGGAGGGTTGAATTTGTGAATATATTTTGAAGGTGGATCCATCATGATTTCATGAGAGATTGGGTATGGTAATTGAGAAAAAGAAAAATGTCAAGAATGATCTCAGGGTTTTTGGTTTGAACAACCAAAAGGATAGAGATATGCCTATACCTGATGAAGGGTATAGTTTGAAGCAGGTTTTCCTTTTTTCTTAATTTATTATTGTGGGGAAAGACCATAATCAGTGTTTTGGAAATATTGAGATGTCAATTAGAAATTCTACTAGAGATTAATTTTGAATGTCAACTCTAATTGAAAAATAAAAAAAAATTTAAAAAAGAAATCCTAATAGAGATGATGTTGAGTTTGAACTTGGATACACAAGTCTGAAGTTCAAGAGAGAAGTTTGGGCTGTAAGTATAAAATGGCAGTCATAGGTATAGAGGTGACCATGTGATCAGACGAGGCCACCTGAGGAGTGGAAATAGAGAAGAGATCCAAAGACTGAGTCCTGAGCTCCCACAGCACTAAAAAATCAGAGAAGGGGCACAACCAGCAAAGGAGACTAAATAGTGACCAGTGAAGTTGGAAGAAAATAAAGACAGTGTGGTTTCCTGAAAGCTAAGGGAAGGAAGTGCATCAAGGAGGAGGGACTGATCCACTTAAATATTGCTGATGGGCCAAGGAAGATTATAAGTGAGAAATGACTCATGTATTAGAAATGTGGAAGTTATCAGTAACTTAATTGGAAGAGGTTTTATAGAGTAGTGGAGGCAAGAACTTACCCTGACCATCCTATTATGGAGTGGTGGAGGCAAGAAGAAAAATGGAGATAGGGAGTAGAGACAACTCTGTAATGATGTTTGATGTGAATAGGAACAACAACAAAACTGAGTGATAGCTGGCAGATGAAGCCTTAGCTCCCTTCTCTACAAACAGGGTTCTCTCAGCGTTATTGAAAAAATTAAAAGAGATTCAATAAAAATTTTTTTGAGTACTGAGATAGTACACACAACATGTCTATCACATAGTAGGCATTCAGTACACTGTAATGATTGTTTTAAAACTGTGAATACCAGAATTGAGAGCAAATTGTTATATATTTCAAAATAATACAGACTTTAATGTCTTAGACCAACAGATGAGTCATTGTGTGGGGGAACAAAAAAAAATCTCAGAATAAGTTTTGCTGTAGTGCATATCAAACCACATTTCACAAGATGACCTCCAAAGAACACATCTGCTTAGTGTTCATTGCATTTGTGTTCCCTAGGATGTAGTAATTATATGTATCTACTAGAGGCCTAGGGAGAAAAGCTTCTGTCAAAAACACAATCTTCTCTCTAAATGAGACAAGTTTCTCCATTACTGAGCATGCCTTGAGTGTGACAAGGTCATAAAGTCACCCTCCTTTTTCTTGCATATATATTGTTTTTTCCTCTCTCATCCCCTAATTGCCAAGTTAAATGTCAATGGCATTGGGTTCTGGGGAGAGGGTGCAGGTTGCAATAAGTAAACCGACCTCTGAAATTTTTCTCCTGTTCAAGCCAATGCTCCTTCTAAAATCTTTTTAAGATGGTGAACAAAGAATATTACATAAGCTATAAGTTAAAGACTGAGCAGAACAGAAGATATTTTAGCTGTGAAATAAAATAAAACTTAAAATGATGTTAATCTGACAAGTATGTATTGATATACACAATAGAGTGCTATATGATAATTAGGCAGAAGTGATGAGCAGTTGACATGAATGTTTCAAATTGGTTATTCTTTCACACAGCCAAGCCTGATTGTATCTTTCTTCTTTGTTAATTTTCTAGGCACTAATATTTTCTATTAATAATGATGTTTTCCAAAACACCATATTATATTATGTTTGTTTATTTGTTAATTCCTTCATGTTTCAAAGGAAAGGTCTTCTTCCTTTCTAAGAGAATCCTTCCATCACCACCTCAGGGACCTACTTCCATCAATGCCCTTTCTCCCATTACCCAAATCTGTCTCTCTCTACTCACAATGCCCAAGCCTATAGCATACTAAAATTCCTCCCCAGAACCTGTCTCCTCCTCAAATCACTACTCCATTCTTCTTTCTTCCAACACCAAACTTCTCTTAGTCCCATTTCTCATTTTGCAGTCATTCTTCCTTCCCAGGCAACCTAGCTCTTTCCTTTGCTGTACCACTGAAACTGCTATGTCCAAAATCACCAAGCACCTATTAATTGACCAATCTAATAATGTCCTCTCAGTCCTTATCCTCTTCAACCTCTTGTAGCATTCCAAACTATTGACTGAAACTTTGTCCTCCCTCAGCTTCCTTGACACCATTCTATCCTGGCTCCTGTTGGCTTTTCACAGGGTTCTCCCCTCAGTCTTCTCTTCTTGTTTTGTGTATTCTCTCTTAGAGAGATAATTCACTTCTCTGGCTTTTGTTACCAATAATATGTGCATAACATTCAGGTCTGCATCTCCAGCCCAAACCTATCTACTGAACTCCAGTCCAATATTTCCAACTTTTTTTCTCTTCTTTTTTTTTTTTATTAAACATCTGCACCTAAATGACTCAAACTCAAACATGTCTTCACATCCATACTCATTATCTTCAGTCTTTCTGCCCAGCCTATGCCATTACCTAAACTACAAATCTAGTAACCATTGTCAATTCTCTCCAATGTCTGGTCACCCACATTCAATTTGTTCTCCAGTCCTGAAATGCCTCTAGAACCCTTACTCTTCTCTTCTTCCCTAGGTACCATGGACTTCATTCAGGGTCTCTACATCTTTTACATGAAATCTCTTTTCCCCTTCCTGGTCCCCACCAGTTCTACTGACTTCAACCACATGGAACTACATAGCCTTCCTTGAATGTCCAATAATCTTTTATACTAAAGAACAGAGTTTAAATTACTTACATTTTTTAAATGTGTTTTTGATATTGCAGGAAATGCCATCTGTGTTCAATCTACAATATGTGCAAGCTCCAAGCCAATTATGCTACATCACTGAATATTCAGTCAAGGAGGCTCTGGTGCTGATGGGGTAAAATGTGTTTTCTTGCATTAAGAGGACCCAGATGAGCTCCCTTTGGGTCCCTGGTTCACCAGCCTGTGACCCCCTCACTCTGCCACTCTCTGGAAATATTATGCAGATTATAAAAGATAAACTAATGACTGAGTTTCATTCAGGGAACTCCTGCCTTGTTCTGTGCAGTGGAGGTCTGTAAAAGGAAAATGTCCACTTTCTCACCCAGAGCAAAATGGAGCCCCATGGGGAGCTGGAAAAAAGCAGGCCTAATTCCTGGCAGCAGCCTTTTCCAATGCTCTTCACTCAACCCATTTGGAGAGAATGGATGTGATTGCAGTTCACTCAGCTCATTGTTAAGGAGCATTCAGATTTAACAAAGGTGTATTTTTAAAATGTGTCTGTCTCATTGTTACATTTTTCTTTTAGACAAGAAGTCCTAGCATAGTATAGTATTTCTTAGATCTTTCCCTCATTTTTCCAGCCATAGCCCAAATGCAGATCGTAATCACATCATTCCTGGGCAATTATAAGGTCTCTCCATCTCCCGTATTAATGTGTATGACTTTGCAAAGCCATTCACTTATTTATTCAGTCACCCTGTCAGTTCGTCAGCCAGTTAATATGTGTTAATTAACAGATGTGCATTGGCCACTATGCTAGGCCCTGAAATATGGGAAGAGGAGGGAGATATAAACTAAACCAGACCCCCACAAAAGGTCCACAATTTCATGGGGAAGATAGACATCTCTGCCTGGAAAGACACCCTTCTCTTCTCTTATGAACAATTTTTCATGATTCAACACCCAACCCACATATCACAGCCAGAGGTGTTTGCTGTTCCTCCATGCTCCCACAGTGCTCTTTTTACATCTTCACTTGGCTACCTGTTGCATTGAATTGAGCATTCTCTCTACTCTGGAAATAGTGACGTCCTGGAGAACAGGAACTACAAGCTGGACATGCAGGGGTTAGTGCATCAGAGATGGCTCAGAACACAATAAATGAAGTAATAAAACAAGAGTAAATGTTAATGCTAAATTGGGTTCCAAAATGAGTAGCATTTGTTGGGGAGCAGGAACTTCTTTACTGAGTGCCTCTTCTGCAGCCAGACAAAACTACTTGCCACTCCATGAATAATCATTGATTCACTTGTCTTCAACTCCCAAAATTCCTGTTCCAGGCCTACCTTCTGTTGTAGCACAGTGCTTCTCAAACTTGATATGCACACAAATCAGTTGAGAATCTTATTACAATGCAGATTCTCAGTCAGTAGGTCTGGATATGGTACCAGAGATTCTGCATATCTAACAAGCTCCCAGGTGAAGCCCATGTTGGTGGTCCAAGGACCACACTTGGAGTAGGTGAGACTTCGGCTAGATTTCCCTAGTCTCAGGCCTTCTAGTCACTTAAGCCAGGACCACCATGTATGGCTGTGTACCAAGGCACCCAGCTGAAGAGGATAATGATCATTGAAATCTAAACCATGTTCACAAAGCCCTATACCCTGTTATAGTACTGGCCATATCTGCTAGGAGAAAGAGGCACTTTTTCTCCTTTTGCTACTTCCCACAAAAGCTCTGTAAGCTACACGTACCCCCACAACTGAATCCATAAAAAGCCAGCACCTTTTTTCTAATTCACACAAAGGTGCCACATGGGGTGCCATGAGTGACACCCCAGCCAACCCTCTGTCATTGCTCTTTTTTTGACTGATTACTCAAGTTGATGATTCTGTATACAATTTGATATTTTTCTGTCACTTGTTTGTGTGCCCTGTATTTCTTTGTATGTGAAAAGCAATAGGATGTAAAGGAGCACTGTCCTCTTCATCACAGGACTTGGGCTCTAGCCCTGGCTCTTTATTACTTGCTTCATAATATCAGGCAAAGCACATAAACCCTCTGAGCCTTGGTTTCCTCATTTATCAAATGAAGATTGGTAAGATCTGCTGGGCTGGATCCTCTATGTTATTGTGAGGATCAAATTGATAACCTAAGGGAAATCCCTTTGTAAATTGTAAAGTTCTATACAAATGTTAAAAATTATTATGAAGGGGTCAGGTGGCATATCTTTAAATCCTTTTGTAATTCTCCCCAACTTGGAAGAACAGTGTGCTGCACGTGGTAGCTTCAGAGCCTACTACTGGTTGATGGACTGCAGGAAAGAGCACTGTCCAAATTCTTTCTAACAAAGCCCCAGCTTACCTTGATGAATAGCACTGTGTGACAACTTTGGAAGGAACTGTAACCCAACTTCATCGGCTTGCAGTCTGTAAGAAGATAACATCTGTAACACAATCACAATTGTTTAACAGGAACTATGCAGAAGAGAAACACCAAAGTAAAGACACCAAATTTCAAATAGATGGTTTCAAGAGTAATCTTTCACTGAAAACTTTTTTCAAATGTAGAAGGCTGACTCATCTGTTTATATGCTAAAAGGAACCCCCTTATTTTGATTTCTGAATACTTTCTCTCCTAGTAGTCAAACTTATTATGGAATAAAAGGTTTTGATAATTGCTTTTTAATATGATGAAAGGTTGGAACCTTTTCCAATGACAAGGAAATGAAAGAATATAATGGAATGATGTCTTGTAATTTTTATAACTTCCAAATAGCAAATGAGACAGTCGTTCATTTATTCACTGAAGTTTCCTTCCAGAATTACAAAATTACTCCTACACAGCAATTAGAAGGGGGAGATGAATGTTTAAGCATTAGCTGTAACTTGTCTTTCTGGGGAGGAGGGGACTAGGTTGAAGCTGTTAGCAATGGGAAAAGTTAATTAACAAATAGAAACTTTTAGTTATTACTTCCCTGTATTCTGAAAAGGTTTCCTAAATTGAAAAGTTAGATAAACCATTGCTCTAATTTTCAAGGGTTTTCTCTTTAAAAGGAAGTCAAGGTAAATAATCTATATTATTTCAAGTGTTAATCTTTACTTTAAAAAATATGTTTATTTGGGAGGAAGTTTTCTTATCTATCATTTGTCAAAGGCCATGGCTGGGCAGCTAAGTGGGTAGGAGCATAAATCTAACAATTCCACATGTTCAGTCCCTTGTAGGCCTCTCAGCTGCTCTCCATCTCAAGTTCACAGCCAAGCTTTCCAGCTCACAAAGGACACTGGCCAAGGGGGGTCAGGTGGGTGAAACATAGCCATCCTCATTCTTTAGACAAGGAGAGATTTGTAGTAGCCCCTCATGAATTGTTTTCTTGATTGCCAGAAAGGCCAGAACAATTTCAACATTCAGTTGCAGTAACTTTCGTATCTTCAGTTTCTAGCCCATTCCTATTTCTCCTATTTCTTGATAGAGTTGCTAATTTTTCTCTTGTTTTCTTTAACTGATCTAGGTTCTCTCTCTCTCTCTCCTGCCCCCCCCCCCACTTTAAATCTTTAAAACTTGGTGACTTAGATTTGACAGCTGGCTCATTTAACAGCGTATCCCAGTGGACAAAGATTAGTTCATCTTTTACCTTGAATCTTTATTTATTTTTGACATTTCTTTTCTTCATCTCTATTTAACATTGGTTTACTCACCTATATAATTTACCAGTTAGCTCTGAGAAAATAACAAAAAAATAATGAGAAAGGACAACATATAACAACAGACCCCACAGAAATACAAATGATGGTTAAAAAATACTATGGACAGCTCTACTCCAACAAACTAGACAACCTGCAGGAAATGGACAAATTCCTAGAAAAATACAACATTCCAAAACTCAATCAGGAAGAATCTAAAAATCTCAATAGGCCAATAACTATGGAAGAAATTGAAGCAGTCATCAAAAAGCTTCCAGCAAACAAAAGCCCAGGACCAGATGGCTTCACAGGGGAGTTTTACCAAACATTCAAGGAAGAACTAAAACCTACCCTCCTCAGACTACTACAAAAAATTCAAGAGGAAGGAACACTTCCAAGCTCATTCTATGAAGCCAGCATCACCCTAATACCAAAACCAGGTAAAGACAACACAATGAAAGAGAATTACAGGCCAATATCCCTCATGAACATAGATGCCAAAATCCTCAACAAAATCTTAGCAAATCAGATCCAGCAGTACATCAGAAAGATCATACACCATGACCAAGTAGGATTTATTCCAGGGATGCAAGGATGGTACAATATACGCAAATCAATAAACGTGATACATCACATAAACAAATTGAAAGAAAAAAACCACATGGTCATATCAATTGATGCAGAAAAAGCATTTGACAAAATCCAACACCCATTTTTGATAAAAACTCTCAGCATGGTGGGAGTAGAAGGATCATACCTCAACATAATAAAAGCCATATATGACAGGCCCACAGCCAACATCATACTCAATGGACAAAAACTAACACCATTTCCCCTAAGAACAGGAACAAGACAGGGATGCCCACTCTCACCACTCCTGTTCAACATAGTACTGGAAGTATTAGCCATTGCAATTAGGCAAGAAGAAGAAATAAAAGGCATCCAAATTGGAAAAGAGGAAGTAAAACTGTCCTTATTTGCAGATGACATGATATTATACATACAAAACCCTAGAGACTCCATCAAAAAGCTACTAGACTTAATACATGAATTTGGCAATGTAGCAGGATACAAAATTAACCCCAAGAAATCTGAGGCATTTCTATACACCAATAGTGAACTTTCAGAAAGAGAGATTAGAAAAACAATCCCATTTACCATCGCACCAAAAAAATTAAGATACCTAGGAATAAACTTAACTAAAGAGGTAAAAGACCTCTACTCAGAAAACTACAGGACATTGAAAAAAGAGATAGAGGAAGACATAAACAGATGGAAGAACATACCGTGTTCATGGATTGGTAGAATCAACATCATTAAAATGTCCATACTACCCAAAGCAATCTATAAATTCAACGCACTTCCCATTAAAATACCAATGGCATACTTCACAGATCTAGAACGAACTCTCCAAAAATTCATCTGGAATAAAAAAAGACCCCGAATAGCTGCAGCAATCCTGAGAAAGAACAAAGTAGGTGGGATCTCAATACCAG